AACTGGTAGGTGTCAACTCCTGTATTGCTGTAACACGATTGCGAATAAAATCCTTCCATCAGGAGGGATGGGCGTTCACCCAAGCCAGGGTTACGGATGAATCCGTCCACAAAAAGATATTTGAACATTGTAGCTCGAGCGTATTTTGAACGTGTGCGGCAAGACGGGCGAGAAGGAGTGCAGCCGACAGTTCCAAGCGTGGTATCGAGAGGCGTTTGAGCGGGGCCACTCTGGTCTTGGCGCAGATCAAACGAACAGAGACACCCTCCACCGGATCATCCACTCTTACGTACACAGCAATAGCGAGGGCTAACAAGGAGTCATCGGAGAACCCGTGTAACTCGACCTGGGTCGACGAACGCAGGGGTCCGAGCCATCTGGGTACTGATAGTTGCTCCAATTTAGATAGCTGAAGTCGGAACGTAGTCCAGCGTTGGTGTATCTCCGTCGGAAGTTCGTCATCCCAACTGATTTTAAGCAGCCAGAGTTCCTGTATTAAAATCTTGGCACGTATCAGCACGGGTGATATCAATCCTAGCGGATCAAAGAATTTCGCGATTTTCGATAATAAAATCCTCTTGGATAGGAATGAGGAAGACGACTGATGGGATGAAAAACGAAACGTGTCCGTGCTAGGCTCCCAGACGAGACCCAGTAACTTAACGAGTGATGGCTCAATTTCCACTCCCGAGGATCTCTCGCTAGTATTAAGAAATTCGGTGTTGAAAAGTTCGGAGCAATTGCTATGCCATTTCTGAAGAGCAAAACCACCGCCATCGCATAGTAGCACAACTTGTTGCATGATCTCTCGCGCTTCAACAAGAGAATCAGCGCCGCCGAAAATATCGTCGACGTAACGGCCTCGTGTAAGAGGGAGGACAGCTTTCGGGAATCGTGTACCATCTTCGTGTATCAGTTGTTGGAGACATCGTAGGGCCAGAAAAGGTGCACATGACATACCATACGTAACGGTTGTAAGCGAATAATCGGTCGGCTGGTCTTCCGTGTTGAGCCACATGATTCGTTGATATTTCCAGTCTTCCGGGTGGACGGCGATCTGTCGAAACATCTTCACAATGTCGGTTGAAAAAACAATTCGGTGTGATCGTATCCACAATAAGACATCTCCGATTTCCGTTTGCAGCTTAGTTCCAGAGTGGAGAATGTCATTAAGTGAAATCCTCGTGTCGGTTCGGCTGGAGGCGTTAAAAACGACTCGCGTCTTGATTTCGCCGTTGCTTTCTTTGAACACCCCGTGATGGGGAAGATAATAAACGGGAGGGGTACAATCCCGTTCCGAAGTAGGCACCATATGTCCCAAGGCCAGATATTCATCCATGAATTTGGTGTAACGTTGTTTGTAGTTAACATCCCTTGAGCATCGGTTGATTAAACGTCATAAACAGCGTAAGGCAGTAGCTTTAGATTCTCCCAACGAAGCGGGATCAGATTTGAAAGGGAGGCGCACGATGAATCGACCTAAAGCGTCCCGGGTATGCGTCTTTAAAAAATGTTGCTCGCATTCGGACTCATCAGGGCTAAGAACAGACGAGGTCGATGACGGCGGGAGCGGTGCATTTGGACACAGTACAATTGGACACGCTGCAAATAGACACGGTTCGAATGGACACATTTTGGTGTACACGGTTCAATTGGACACGGTTCATTTAGACACAGAAATTT